TGTCGAAACGTTGTACATTTGCTGTTATGTTAAACTTATATTAAAGTTTTTCTTCATTACCCATTCAAGCCGTCTCCAACCATTATTTGTTAAAGTTTGTTATGAATTTCGTGCAAAGCTACACGAGGGCTATCTGCGCTAGCCGTCCCTAATTTAGCAGTGTAAGACTAGGGAAAGGCAGCTAGTCATCAACACCCACCGCCAAATCTTGGGCTACTTTTTTACCAACGAACAATGGGATTCACCGTCACATTATAACGCCCCCCCCCCCCACGGCTGAAAGGGCGAGCATATTTGGTGGGACGGGGATTCGAACCCGCGACCCTCAGATTGCGAGTCGAGCACCCTTTCCACCTGGTCATGCTGGGCCCGGAAGCGAAGTTGTTTATAGTTTTTGTTTGTTTGTCTGTTGACAAGTTATACAATATGCTATCTGTTTTGTGCCCACCGTAGGAACCCAACCCCGAATTTTAGTGTTATAAGCAAAACCTCATCTTGCCATTGAGCAACTGAGGTTAGTTCTCATAAGCAAGAAATCTAAAATAGCTTCTGCCTCTGCATTGATAGCTCAATAACAGAATGGACGAGATTATTCATTAGAATCGTCATGTATTATCATAAAAAAGTTTCTTACATTGAATTCAATGTTATCGCTAAAATGGAGAAAAGAATCATTCGGGCGCTTCCGTTCATGCCATGATTTAAAAAATGTTATACATAAGATCGGAAATAGTAAACAGTCCTTTTCTGCTTGCTCGCTTTGATCCTTCGTCAACAACTTAGTGCTTCATTTCTTTCTCTCGGAATTGACTGTATATTGTTCAGAATGAATATTCATAACAGTGGTGGACACAAAACTTACATGTGATCAAAACTAGTCCTTATGTGTGTCAAAATATGAATTTTAGAAAGAAAGAAACATTAGATACAACGGGAATAAAATCTATCTACTGTTTTTTTTTATCTTTCTTAAACTTTGTCATGGAAATTCTGTGTTTATATATATTGTATCTGTATATTGTGTGTGTTTTCTTATAGCAAAGCCACAACGGGCTTTCTGTTGTGTCCACCGAGAGGAATCCAACACCGGATTTTAGCGGGGGACGCGTCTGTATACCATTTGAGTTTCAGTTTAGAAAGACTAACATATGGCTCAAACTTAAGAGCATGCACAGAAATTATACTGTTGCATCATTCGAATTTACTCAATTTTAGAAGGTTCTCAAAAAAATTTTACCCCCAGTAGCACAGCGGTATGTCTGCGAAGTTACAACGCTAGAAACCGGGTTTCGATACCCGTGGTGGGTAGAACACAGATAGCCCATTGTGCTTAACTTCAAACAAACAAACCAAATGTTTATTCTTCTCCAAATAAGTCCACTTTTTGACAAATATTTGTTTTTCATCGTCCACAGAAAAACTTTACGATCATACATTACTTTTGTAGCAATATGAGGAAAATTGTTATATATGGACTACATTAATGTCTACTGGCGATGAATGTAATAGCAGATAGTTTATTGCTCAATTCGTTAAAACATATTCCTGTTTTAGGATAAGTTTTTTTTAATTTATATATTGTATAGTTTTTACTAGTTTTCTTTTTACATTACGAATTGAACGATATAAAACACAATTTTGGCGAGATTACAAAATTTTAATGAATTTCAATTTCTTAAAAATTTAGGTAGTATCTCTTCGAAGTAACAGAGATACAAGAGGTACCTTAGGTATAAGAAAATTAGTAAGTTATGCTTATCGTTAATGGTGGAAGAAATAAAACGCTTTCGTTGTAATTAAGTAGACTGAACTTGATATTACCTTCTACTAAATAATCTCCCCACCGAACAATAGAAATAGTAACAATAAGAAATTTAAAATATTTCTGTACAGCTCGTGAGTTCTTGTACAAACAGGTATCAGTTCAATTCAATATCAATAATTGTGTTCTATGCTCTTAATATAAACCAATATTTAAGTAGTAATTTTAACACTCTAGAATTGTAGAAATAATAACAAGAAGAGCATGAAACTTCATTTCAAAACTATAATATTCTAAGTTTGATAAGGATTTGTCAGTACAAATAATGTTCAAAGTGAAATACTAAGAAATATTTAAAATGAAATGAATAACATTCATATTACCTTCATTTCCACTGACAAGCACACTTAAACCTGAAATCCAAATGTTAGCCTCGTCAGCAGACGAAGCTATGAGATCAAGCGATTTGTATCTGTTTCCATAGATGATTGAAAAAGCGCAAGCCTCATCGTAACCTCCGGCAATATCTTTTCTTCTAAGTAACTCGGTGGTCTTTCCGGCTCGAACCTCGTGGACACATCTAATGGAAACTTTAAAAGTAAATCATTGTTATTAATCACCTCGGCCATAGACTGCCAAGCTCACTAATTATAAAGGTAATTATGTAGAAGAACAACTTTTTTGTTGAAACTAGTATGGGCCGTGAAAAAGCTAGCCCAATATATTAACTATTTTAACCAAAGGTATTTTAGAGTCTGCTTATATGCAAATCTTTACAAGAGATTGCAAAAAGGCTTAAACATATGAAGCGCCATCTAGAAGTGTGGCATGTATGCCGCTTAACATTAATATTTAGTGTTATTATACTATTATAATACTTTCTTTGATAACCGTTATTTCGCATGAATAACCAAAAGTGTTAAAAATACCATTACTTTATACTACTACTACTTCAATTATGTTGTCATTTAGATTATTTCTTCCCAATTTCATGCAAACCTACCCAAGAGCCATTTGCGCACAGCTGTCCCCCATTTCGAACAGATAATTTGTTTGTTTGAAGTTAAACACAAAGCTACACAATGGGCTATCTGTGCTCTGCCCACCACGGGCATCGAAACCCGGTTTCTATCGTTGTACATCTGCAGACATACCGCTGAGCCACTGGGGGAGGGGGGAACTGATAGACTAGGGGGAAGGCAGTTAGTCAACAGCACCCAGTGCTAATTCTTCAGCTACTCTAATCGAATACTGATATTTGATCACCACTCTTATAGCCCATCCATGGCCCAAAAGTACAGAGTATTTGCCAGGATTCACAGTCCAGGCAAGCTTCCCTATTAGCTCAATCATATTAGAGAAAGCACAATAAACGAAACTCTGTGGAAGACAAACGTTTCCCAGAATGAACAATTTATATATATATATATTGCATTAACGACATTCATTTTAACAACGTGCGAATCGATGTAATCTTTATCTTGAGCATTCAACGCATCATTCATCGTTTGAATATATCAGACTTATCAGCGAAAACTTGGAGTTTACTCATCCAGCGTGAAGTATCACATGCCCTTACCAAAGAGATGTAAATCTTCTTTCTCCTGAGACATCTTGCCGTTTTCTTTGCAGCCTTAAGCCTAAATGAATTAAGTGTTTTAACAAGCTCAAAGAACTGCAGATCAATTCGCAATAATCTCAACAAATTAACGCAATTAAACATTTCTTAGTTGTTTTTTTTTACTTTCTCGTCGTTTACCTATTATATTAAAAAGTGTGCACAAATAATGAAACAACAACAACAGAATGTCGAACTTTTGTTGTTAAGTGCAAAATTAGAGAATGGTCTACCTTAGCTGATTTTCCCCTCTGCAGGAATAGAGCCCCGAATGTGTTATAAGCCCTCAATATTACCGCTGAGCCACAAGGTGAAATAAATAGTCTCTTCCAATTAGAAATTATAGCCTTACAATTATAAACAAGCATACGTATAAAATAATTAGTTTGTGTTAGCAGGCTTGAACAACAATCTGTTGAGGAACAAAGAAGTTGTGATTTAAACTACTTACAGAAATGACATATTACTTTATCACAAATATGCAAAATTTATCACAAAACCAGACAAAATCGTAAACATGCTGATTAATTTGTATATTTTAAATCGCATAGAAAGAAATGTTACTGACACAATAGAATACGAAGCTCGTTACTTTGAGATGGAAAAAAAAATTCCTTTCATTTTCTACCTATAAATCGAAACTGGGTAACAGATTTTAACGGTAATACTACGAGTACTGTTTGGCAAACTTCAAACATTAGACTAAACTTTTTGCAAACTACGTTTCCTGAAAGTAAATGGATTCCTCATTTTTGGGAAAGGGGAGATAATTTGTAAAAGTTTGTGGTGAATAATAATGGCTGGAGACGGCTTGAATGGGTAATGAAGAAAAACTTTAATATAAGTTTAACATAACAGCAAATGTACAACGTTTCAACAAGGTTTTGTCATCATCATGTGGTGAATAAGTTGGGAAAGAAGGGGGGGAGGTGTATGAAGAGAGAGGGAAGTACCTCAGATCCAGTCCTTCATTCATCGTAGGTTTTAAACCTTGATACTCTTACCTTAACAATACATGCTATACTTTTGTGTAATAAATAAAAGCTGGCCTGTAAATTAAAACGATTAAAATTTTTTATAGAAATAGCACAAACAGTTGAAAATAACAAACATCTGAACCAATATAACAAGAACAGATCTGTATAAAAACTCTGACCCGAGTAATGACATTCCCGAGAAAAAACATTTATTGAATGTTAATACCTAAAAGGTGGTTACAAGTAAACAGACAGACTTTACTGAAAAATCAATTCACTGTTTTGCATTACATGTATGTGTGTGTTTTCTTATAGCAAAGTTACATCGGGTTATCTGCTGTGTCCGCCGAAGGGAATCGAATCCCTCATTTAAGCGTTGTAAATCCGAAGATTAACCGCTATCCCATTCAGAAAATCACTAAAATCTGTTTTGTTATTGTTGTTGGTCGTTTCTGTTCACCCGTATATAGATGTGAACCCCGTACAAGGAGAAGACTAAACATATATAGTACGATTTAATGTTATCATAACATTACATATATGTATGTACATCGAAAACAATGTTCAAGTCACTCCTATAAAATACATAATATATATAGAAACCAAATCCAAATTGTTATTATAAAATGAAGTTTATTAGAAATGACTGTCACTCTTCGTGTATATACTTATAGGAGTGACTTGAACATTGTTTTCGATGTACATACATATATGTATTTTATAGGAGTGACTTGAACATTGTTTTCGATGTACATACATATATGTATTTTATAGGAGTGACTTGAACATTGTTTTCGATATATTCATTTACGAAACAAATATTATGTGTTGGTGAAAACGTTTATGGTATGATAGAGTACATATTATTCAAATTATTGATTTTTATATCTATATTTGTCGCTACATGGTGTTCAGTAAAAGCAGGCAAACGAAAATGACATCAAATTCCATAACACGTGGTATTTACATACATTTCTTTTACAGTGTAGAATTCATAAACATCCTCAAAACAAATAATGTATTTATTCGACAGCGTTCCTAATCCTCATTGTTATTTAATGTGACGCCCACGATGCGCTAATGCTATCTACAAATTCTGTTATAAGTAATAGCAAAGTTTTACAGCATCCATGATTTTTTTGTATTTTCTTTTCTATTAAGTGACCAGCACAGCTGTTGCTTCATCTGTTCAAATGGAATTTAACCTATAACGGTTCGTACTTTTTAATCTGTTTATTACCTTCATTTATTTATTGTTAAATCACGAGGCTACACAATGGACTATCTGTAATCTGTTCACTGCGGCTATCGATACCCGATCTTTAGTGTTATAAACCCTCAGACTTTCCTCTGAGCCACCAGAGGCATTTATACTAAGACAATATTACATCTTGGAACAAAGGATATTAAAACTACAATTCAATACATAGTTAACTGATTCGGAATAAATGAATCATAAGACGCAATTTAATATAAAATCTTGTACTTAAGAGACATTGGTTTGAAAATAATAACGATACAAGAAATGAATCAATGCAAGCAAAGAAGATTAAAAGTGTCCTAAAACTCTTATGGATAGCAATGATAAAAACATTTCTCAGCAAATAAGCAGAAATAGTTATCTATGAGAGCATTCTTTTCGACTGTGATTAGGTTTTTAGGGCAAGATTACTAATCACTTGATAAAATCTTTTGTTTATGAACGCTTTCTCCCATTTCCAAAATTGGGGATGGAATATTTTCATAGATTAAGTTAATACATTTTTTTAATCATACGTGTCTTTCCGACATTTTTAAAAGGGAGTATAGTAAAGAAATGCAAGTGCACACAATACAAAATCAGTAGGATCGTGAGACGAGTGTGAAATAAGCCAACAAGCTTCGTTTTTTATAATGACTATTTCAGTTCATTCTTGAAAAATTAGGATTGGTCAACAAATAATGAAAAAAACTAAAGACCGGTCTAAATGTGGATCTAAATCTAAATGTAGTAATGGATTAGATTCAGGTATTTCTAAAATAACCTTAGTTTATACGTTAACGTTAATAATTGTTAATAATCACAGGCAATGTAGAACAGATTCCTGGACCTCCAAAGAAAGTCAACAAGGAAATGTAGAAAAAAAGGGAGTAAGCAGGCCTCAAAAGTGAATAATAAAATACCTGAACGTGGTCACACCAAAGTATAACACTGCAAGTTACATAACCTTCGAAGGTTCAAGGCAATTATCAATAATAGACAGGGGAAGGTAACGCATTTGATGTTACCACAATAATTTGTTTGTAATTAAGCATAAAGCTACACAATGGGCTATCTGTGCTCTGCCCACCACGGGTAACGAAACCCTGGTTTCTAGCATTGTAAGTCCCCAGACATACCGCTGTGCCACTGGAGGGCTAGCACAAGAAACGAAAATTTAAATGGAGCCGAGAAATGTGAGAATCAAAGGCTTGTTTCTAAAAATATAATACAAGAATTAAAAAGCATAAATGAAAGTATAAATGTAGTTAAAGAGGAATTAAAAAATTATAATGAAAAATGATTAGAAAAAAAATACATGGCTTTAAATCAAAAATTTCGGAATATCGAAAATGAATGTGAAATAAACATTGTGGAGAAGGAAAATGAATTAGTTAAAAATACCCTAATTAGAATAAAAAATCAAAACAGAAGAAATGGTCTGGGGAATAAATAAAAGAAGAAAATTGGGAAGATAGAATAAAAGCACTAGTCAATGAACTGAACTTTTTAAATGGAAGACGCTGAGAAAATAGGAATTGAATGAGCACATAAAATTGGGGAAAAAAATGAGAGATCACAAATCATTGCGAAGTTTCTAAGATTTGATGACAGAGAAAAGTTATGGATGCTTTTAAAAAGAAGGTAAAGCATTTAAAGGAAAACAGTCAAAGGCTGCAAATGGGAGTTTACGAAGACTAGAAAGAAAAAAGAATGTTGAGAAAGAAAATGATTGATTTTAGAAAAGAAGAAAAT